CCCTATTTTTCTTCATTTTTCAACTTTGATCATCGCTAATTTAAAAAAATTCTATGTAAGTTGCGAAATATTTGGTATTTATCTAAAAGAAAATTTATTTTCGAATAAATTTATACCTCATCTCATAGAATTGCATAACAATTGTCGAAGTTAAGCAATTTAAGCAAAAAATACGGCCCTGAATTTATTTGTGTGTATGTACCGGACGTGCAGATTTTTTGAGCAGTGTGGCTAACTGACCGTCTCCACTGGATAAAATTTATTGCTGTCCAGCTGTCGTTTTGGTCACTAGATATAAGTTATATCAGTGGCATTATTTGTGTGGGCTTTTTATATCTCCGATCTCGACCGAATTTGATATACACATTGTGCTTGGCCTCCTTAAGCACCGTGCTGAATTTTTTTTTTTTCAAATTGGACACAGATGAACGACTTCATTCAAATTCAATACCTCCGCTCCTAAAAGCTTGCGCATCGCTTAGATTTTTCGCAGAAGGAAGTCCCACAGCAATAACTTCAATTCGGTAAACTTAACATGTCGATAGTTTTAAGAGGTGCTTCAGTTGATAAGGAAAAAATTTGCAATCAGTGTTAGCTTTTGTTTCACCAAAAGCGCGGACTACACGAGAAGTAAAATTTCCCATTGTTGTTTTGTTATTTTCACGATATTCTGTAAAAGCAAAATGCGTTGCAAAATGTTAATATCGATTAAACTATTAAAAACTAACATATTTCGTTAGTTGTGCCGGCTCGAGGTCAAATGGTTTTAGAAAATTTTAATTAAATCAGGATTTTAATTTTTTCCAATATATTTCGATTACAAAAATCCTCAGTCTCATTGCGAGAGTCGTCCCGAATGCAAGTCGTTTTTCGAGAGTCGAATCGTATCGAAAATTTCACGTCGTTGCCTAAAATTGCCACGCGACTGGTATATTAATGCGGCAAAACTTGGCAGCACTCATTAGCGCACACAAGGGGTGGGTTTTGGGGTTCAAACCCCCCTAAAGCTAATAACCTCAAATACGAACTGTATCTTAAAGCTAAGAATCCAGCTCAAGAAAAATCACAAGAAATATTTTTTATTATTTCTGTTGAAAAAGAACTTCCCTTTCGCTATAAATTTTCTTGAAATAAATATACGAGCATTTTTCTTGAGAAATGCAAACTGATTTAAGAAATTTTGGTAAAGGATTTAAGAAATTTCTTGTGCGTAATTTTATGTACATATATGAATTTTTCGCTTTTCTTGAGAGCTATTAAAAGTTTAAAAAGCACCATCTCCATCGAAAACCAGCAGCAAGATTCCCAGCATGTGCTACAGCTGATTTTGATCGCCAAAAATCTCCAAAAGAATAGCAGGAACGCCTAACAACACGCAACATTTAGTTACATGCCAGACTTAGCCGATTAGTTACACATTACAGCTATTACTTTTCGCTTCAGTATACTTTTAGGCCCACTGCTTTTCATTTATAGAATTATTGCGACGAAAACTTAGCGTTGCGACCAGAAATCGAGGAAAATGATCATTAAAACTCTTTTTTTAATTTTTTTATTACTTTTGAAAGTTCATATCATATCATTCAATTCTCATATATAAATTTAGGAATACCGTTAATTTTTTCATGATCCAATGATCGGATCTAAACGAAATTACGGGACGACCCATGAGGTACCATCTTTCCGAAAAAAAAAGAAATTGAAATCGGTTCACGTGGTCCAAAGTTATGCGGTAGCATACATAAAAAAAGAAAAAATATTTTGACGAATTAATCACCTCCCTCTTTTTTGGAGTCGGTTTAAAATGTTTCAGTTCCTTGTTAATTTCATGTAATAAAGTGCAATTTATTAAACTTTAAAAGGTTCATTTTTTATTACATACTGTACATAAAGCTTGCACAAATGTATTTTAAAGAGCATATTATCCGAAGCAAATTTCAGAAGTATAAACCCCTCCCAAAATATATTCCTGGGTGCGCCCCTGGCAGCACTGCATAGTTTTCGACGATTTTCGTCGTTTACTTATTTCAGCTCGACAGTAGACAATTCCAATGTTGTCGAGTCTTACAATTTAGCCTAATTTACGACTTAGGCAATGAGGCTGCTTGTTTGAATTAAAATTTTCTAAAACCATTTGACTTCGAGCCGGCTCAACTACCAAATTCACCTTTATGTCAACAGCAGAAAAATTATACGTACGTCAACAGCAGCATACCCGGGTATGCACACATGATTCAATAATAAAAGGTTTGCTCAAAAAACATGTTTCTCGCTTCCTCTTGACAAAATCGGCTCCCTTGGCAAGGCACTGTGTGTGGGTTCGTGTATGTGTGCAAAGCTTTTGTAAGGGAGCTAATACTAAGTTCACATATAAGTAGATTATCCTCATTTTCGAGCTTAACACCCTAATCTGTAATTAGAACAAGAGATTAGCCATATAAAATTCGTCCCTTGTTAATCTGTAATTATAAAATAATCTCAGATTTAACCGATAACTTTTCGGTGTCATCCTAGTTTTATCGATGGGTTTTGCGAAAAAGAGGAGAAATGCCAAATGTAAAAGTAAACAAAAATGGATGCTAGCAAGGAACAGAGGTTTCTAAAGGTATTTTTAATAAAATGTTAAGTTAAAATATATTTATATTGCTTAATATAGCAGAAAAACGTGATCACGGTGGCACAGAGAAGAAACATAACTTTTCCTTGAGATGTGAGAATAATAAGCACAACAAATTTTACGGCTAATAATCTGAGATTTGCCTGTGTAAACGGGGTGATTAAAAAACGAGCTTTGATTGAGATAATAGTGATATGTGAACATACTTTAAGGGAGTGTCAAAACTCGAATGTCACCAATGAGAAAACCTTTAATTATTGAATCATGGTATGCACATACATTTTGTATGGGAAACGGCGTTGTGTTGTGACGAAAATGTTAATATTTAACACATTTCTTTTAATCCGCATACATTTTTATTGTTATTTTCTGAAGAAATATGTTTATTTTAAATATGTGAAGAAAGATTTGAGAAATATGTTGCTCTGCCGTAAAATAATGAGTTTCTTAGAACACACTCTATGATTGTTGGTTTTGAATGTATATAAAAAGGATTGTTTAGGTAAAAAACGTGTATGATTATTGAAACAGGGCTTTTGCAGGTAGGCGCAAATAATTCTTGTGATGTCTCTTGTTACATCAGGTAGTTCAAAACTTGAACCAACCTGCAGAAGCTCTAATATTTACTTGAATACATGTTGTGCGAACTTGAAGACAGAAGAGATATGAAGTTTTTATGACCAAGTGTTACGCAACGAAATAAAATTTATTAAAGTAAAAATGGCAAATGGTGAATGGCTCACTCCAAGACACCTTAGTGCACTTGATCCTGAGGGGCAGCATGGATACATTCGCCAGAGGTTAGAAAATTTAGGAGAGGAAACCAGTGACGACGAGCATTTCGTATCTGAATAGATTGTGGACGATAACAAAAATGATGTAACTCCAGTTGACTCCGATATAGAAGAAATCAAGCTATCAGAATACGACCCGGAAGATCTTGAGGAACTTGGCGATATACCGGGGAAATTATACTGCCAAAGAAGGAACAATTTGAGCTGCTCCATCACCACAAACTGCCTGATTCCGAACCTACAACATACTCAGGTCTGAAAACATGGACCAGTACGTGCCGAAGAATAATAAATCAGTTGTGGTCTTTTCAAGAATGCATTAGATAACCGAAGTAAAAGGTCTTAAGAAGAAGCCACTACTGATATTAGATTACAACCAAAGCAAATGTGGCGTTGATAATATAGATAAATGCCTTGCAGAATATTAAACCAGTCGGCCTTCGGCATTTTCTTATAATATTCTGAATGTAGCTGTCCTTACTACGGACATAATTTACGTCGAAAATCGCCCACACCTGAAAACCTCCGAAATCCGACTAGAATGTTCCTTCATCAACATAGTTGGCAACTGGCGAAATCTTAAATAGAAGTGAGAGCTAGTAATAGTCGAATAACCAGAACACACAACGTCATTGAAGCAATAAACGGCGGTCCTTTGAGGATAATGGATGTTGGTATTTAGGGAGCAAGGAAGAACGTGACAGTGCGGGCAGAATAAAAACAAATGGTAATTGTTCTATGTCCGCCCACCAAGGAAAACCTGCATATTGTTCAACAGACCCATGTATGCAGAACATTCTACTAATATGTTGCAATGTAATATCTAGATGTAGTTAAAAAGTTAGTAATTTACAATTGATTAATATTTTTTTTATTTTACAAGTATTGTATTACTATAATATCATTATATTCTTGTATTATTTTAAGAATTTGATTCGGAATTATATTCTTGTATTATTTTAAGGATTTCATTTGAAATAAAGTTTACTTTTCAGATGTATCAACATACATATTTGCATAAGATTTCATATACATACCCGGTTATGCAGCTGTTGACGTAAGGGTTAAAAGTCGAAAAATGGCCAGATCTCTGGCCCAGGTGGTCCAATTCCAACCAGACTTGGGAATATGACGTAAAACACTTCTGTTGCGGATATCTTTAAATTTCAAGTCAATCCGATGTCTAGTTTCCAAGATATAACAGTTTTAAAACGCAAGACATACCCGGGTATGTTGCTGTTGACATAAAGATTAAGAAGTAAAAAGGTCGCCAAAACCATCATCACTAAAATATTTCACAAACTTTTAAATTTTATCTCCTAAATACGCTCCAAAAATCTTCACAGCAACCACAAAAATGGAATTGCAAACTTTGTAGCAACTGCAGTTGTCAGTAGAGAGTTGCCATCTGTAATATCGCTTCGGCAACTGGAAACGCAACTGAAGTTCGGTTGCTACCGATAGTCTACCTATAAATCTATCCTCGCCATTGCCGCCACACACGGATAAAAGTTTGCTACCCTGTTTACACATTAATTGCTAAAGAACAATTTTTTGCTTGAAACTAACCATATCTTTTCTGATTACAGGAGTTCTTTACGATCAGTTGCATCCTGATGAGGATGGCGTTCCTTGGAACCTTACTATACATTTTTCGAAATTCCCCGAAGACTTATTGGTAAAAATGTCAACTAGGTAGGTGTTAAGCAACTAATAAAAATGAGAAGTCCCACTTAACGTACTAATATGGATAGGGAATTGTTGGAATCACATTTTATGTCATGCCTAAAGGAAGCCGATGTTCTTAAGCATCGAGGTCAAATAATATCTTCAATGCAAAAAAAGGATCACAATCAACTCTGGCAAGGTCTGGGTAATGACAAGTTTGATCAGTTTTGGGCAATTAATCGGCGTCTAATGGAGCCAAATGGGGAGCAAGAAACCTTTAAATACATTCCTGTACGATTTTATTCGGAAGTGAGTATCGTTTTCTTAATTCTAATCATAAACACATAAGGACTTCTATTAGTACTGTTTGGTATATAAAAACGTTTTCGACGTAGGTAATTGTTGAGGAGTTCCATAACAAAAGGCAATAATTCCCCTATTTGTTTTGCCGTGGAGTACGTCCAATGTTTTAAATAAAAAACGGATTAATTTATGTTAGAATTATTTCGTTTTGTCGCACAAATGACGCGAAATACTGGCTTATTTTGGGGTAAATTTTGAGATTTTGAAGTACAAGTAGCACTTAGGTTTTGCATATAACTTTCATTCTGGGAACTTAAGTTCTTGAAATGGCGCTGGTCACATATCAACCCACAGAAGACACTGGTCATGCGAAATAATTAGTAGCTGATGGCACATATGATTGCAGTTAATGCGGTTATGTTTACAGAAATAAAAACATTTTCCAACCTGCGTCATCTTATATGAATTCTAATGTAAAATTGTCCGTTGAATCAGAATATAAGAAAGTAGAACAATTTTTGAGATATAGCCAAATTTCGGTTTTTATGATCTGAAAAAAGTGAAATATGTTTTCTTCATGTTTCTTTCTTGGACTTCAAAGTATAAATACAATAACACCTTATCTAAATTGAGTAATAAATCGAGCCCCAACCGCAATTTGAGTGTAACCAACAGAAAGAAGATTATGCATAAGTGTTTTTTTTTAATTATCTTTAAACAAAGCAGAGTTATTAACATGAAAGTAAGTAATGTTTTTGCAGTTACATCTTTTTTGCTTTTAGGTTGGACAGTGACCATACTGTTCATTAAAGCTTGCAAGTCTTCAAGTGCCCCTCCCACTTCTTCCGCTTGTGTTGGTCTACGAGTTGCTGATTCTCCGCATTGAGATCCCTGATACGGGGTTTTCCGGTATAAGCCTGGCGAAGGTAGTCACGCTCGTCCGTTAGAACAGCCGCTTCGTTGGAAAATGTGGACGTCTTTACGCGATGCATCCAGCGTAAATTAAACGGGCTGCAGCCGGAGTGACAACTTTGCCGAATTTGCGTTCGCCAAAATGAACGTTTATTGGTGAGGCAAGGACGGCGAAGGTGCTCTCGGTAACTTCATCAAAGCCTTTCCAATCAGTTTTGGTAAAGTTAGTTTTGGTTCGGTGTTCCGCAGAAGCAAATTAGGCGATACAATTGTAACGACAGCATAAGTCGCCACGTTCTGCTGTTTATCAGACCAGCACTAGTAATTGCTATGTCGGGTCAGATGCTTCAGCTACCTATAATACTTGTGCGGGCGTCTTCGTTCAGACTGGAGCAAATTGGGGCCACTAATGATATGGTCCACTCCTTCTGAAACCTGAGATGCTTAAGTGACTCCATCCCTTGCAGGTGTTGCACCTGACTGCAGTAGTTAGTTGTAGTCTTCTCTGTTCGTCATCTCTTGTCAAATTTTGTTTTGAGGCAACCGGGTTTCTGCGTTTTGAAAAAAACCATTTCATTAGTTAAGAAACAGGTTTCAATTCAACAATGTGTTTTAATAATGCACTAATTTTAGTTATGTATACTGTATATGTAAATTATGTTTTTAATACTTGTAGGAAGATGCCTACGTACAAAAGTTAATAACACCTTTAAATAAAAACGGACAAAAGAAAACACTTGGTGAAATGATTACTGAGTTATCGTCGCCGCTTAAGAAAGTTGGTAAGTTGAAGCGGAGAAGGAAAATATAAATATTTACATTTATAAAAACTAGTTTTGTTGTTTTAGTTGAAGTCCGAACACATGGTATCAGCATTCACGATGAAGCACATTTACAGTGGTTATCCGAGCATCTTAGTTATCCAGATAATTTTTTACACTTATTTTTAGTCTATGATAGTAACCCTTAATATTTTAAACATGTAAGTAAAGTTACAAAGTCATAAAGTTTCTTTTGTTCGATTTGGTTAGCAGTAAAGAGTGATTCGTAAAAGCTCTGTTTGGGTCATAATTATGGCTAAATAAATTAGTTTAATAATAATAATAATAGATTGGCGCTTACACATATGAGCTAGAATTCATGAAATCGATCAGTAAAAATTAAAGTTTGTTGATTTTTAATTTTAATATGGTGGATGTGTAATTCAGGAGCATGGAAAGTGATTCCCATCAACAAAACTTCGAAAAAATATATATTTCGCAAGTTATTGCATAAACAATTTTTATGGCATTTTTTCTTCGATTCACAATATCTCATAAATTATTTAACCGAATTGAATGAAATCTTCAGGGCTTATTCCTTTTATGTCATAGTTTCTGTTGACATATTTTTTTTTAATGCAAATTTTATTTTTGTTCCTTTTTACTAATATTTATACTAAGAAAGTTTTTGCAAAACATCGTTCTGGAGCAACAAAAAATTTGAAAAAAATTAGAAATATTCTTCCAGTTTTATTAAATAACATGTGTAAATTTCCAAGTGTGTGTATTTTTCGTTTAGAAGATATCAGCAATTAAACCTGGCTCTGCATGTATAGCATCTTTGATTTTTAGATTTTTGAATAACATTTTTTTTAGATTTTACTTTTTTTTTAAATTGAGTCAGCTAACAGAGTTGTACGAAAGTGGTAATTAATATTTCCACGTGTGTAAATTATTGAACGGTGGTAGCTTGGTTATACGCGACGAATAACGACTGTCTTATAAGCAAGTGTACGTAAAAGAAGTAAGTAAGCAAAATAGCAAAATAGTAAATTCAGACCCATTTCTCCCCTCTGAATACCTGTTGCAATCCTCATAATAAGATGTGTAAGCTTGCAACGGACTACAAGCGACCAAATAACAAATCCAAAGGCTTTATATGAAGAGTGCCAAAGCTACTTCAAAGGCATCGCTTTTGTCTTTTACGCAGAGGCCGATTACGATGTAGAAAGCCAGTCGTTGGAGAAACGTTTCCTTAGAGCAGCGACAATAAAGAATACCAGAAATTTTCACTCTTTTGTACCAATTAACACACAGCAAATCACTTGCAGAACTTATTCAGCATCTGAATCACTAATTGAGAACACGATCATTTCATGAATTCTCAGTTTATCGGTTTCATGTTTATACCATCATACGTTGGAATTTACTTTGATGCAATAAAAGCCATATACTCAAATTTTGTGTATAACCTATTAGAAAAAAACCGTATTTGTTTTTTATTTTTTGATGTTGGTTTCTACCGGACTTGAACCCAGGCCCTGCGGAATGATAGCGCGCACTGCTAACCACTGCACCACAGAATCAAAAATAAAATTTATTCAAAAATCTAAAAATCAAAGATGCTATACATGCAGAGCCAAGTTTAAGTGCTGATATCTTCTAAACGAAAAATACACACACTTCGAAATTTGCACATGTTGCACATAAGACTGGCAGAATATTTTTAATTTTTTTCAATTTTTTTGTTGCTCCAGAACGATGTTTTGCAAAAACTTTCTTAGTATAAATATTAGTAAAAAGGAACAAAAATAAAATTTGCATTAAAAAAAATATGTCAATAGAAACTATGACATAAAAGGAATAAGCCCTGAAGATTTCATTTAATTTGGTTAAATAATTTATGAGATATTGTGAATCGAAGAAAAAATGCCATAAAAATTGTTTATGCAATAAGTTGCTAAATGTATATTTTTTTGAAGTTTTGTTGATGGGAATCACTTTCCATGCTCCTGAATTACACTTCCACCATATTAAAATTAAAAATCAAAAAACTTTAATTTTTACTGATCGATTTCACGAATTTTGGCTCATATGTTAGTGTTTGGCCGAGCTTCTCCTCCTATTTGTGGCATGCGCCTTGATGTTGTCACACAAAGCGGAGGTACCTACAGTTTTACGCCGACTCCGAACGGCGATTGTATTTTTATGAGAAGCTGTTTTTCATGGCAGAAATACACTCGGAGGTTTGCCATTGCCTGCCGAGGGACGACCGCTGTTAAGAAAAAACCTTTTTGCTATATTTTTTTTGCGATGTTGCTTTGACCAGGGCTTGAACCCAGGTGCACTGGAGTGGAAGCGCGCACTGCTTACCACTACACCACAGCGGCCGCTAAATTAATTTATTTTACATTAATGGGTAGATTATCGATAGCAATCGAACTTCAGTTGCGTTGCTAGTTGCCAAAACGATATTACAGATGGCAACTGGCAACTGCAGTTGCTACATAATGTGTATACAGGCGACTACATTTTAGTGGTTGCTGGGAATGTTTTTGGAGCGTATTTAGGAGCGAAAATTGAAAAGTGTGTCATATATTTAATAATTTGAACGATATTAACATTTTGCAATGCAGTTTGCTTTTACAGAATATGGTGAAAATAACAAACGAATATCTTGAAATTTTAGTTCTCGTGGACAACACCCTTTTGGCGAAACAAAAGCGAACACTGATTGCAATTTTTTTTCTTTATCAATTGAAGCACCTCTTTTAAAACTACCGACACACCCAGTTTTCCAAATTAAAGTCATTGCTGTGGCACTTCCTTCTGCGAAAAATCGAAGATGTGCGCAAGCTTTTATGAGCGGAGGTATTGAAGTTGAACGAAGTGGTTCATCTGTTTATTAACCAATTATACTACAGCTTCTTTTGGAAGTCCTCAATATGCTTTGAAAATGGACACAAAACGATAACAAAAGAAACCATTAATTTTTGCTTACAGTACACGCGGTAGCTCTAGAGGATTGGAATTATCCTTTAAGTGTCGCCTGATTGAGGACGCGTTCATGCATTTCTCTTCCTCCTAAACAAATAATTGTGATAAATTTAGCTTTATTTCTGTCTTTTCTTTAAAACTCTTCATTTTAATAATTTAATTTTACTCGCACAGCTTGTTTGCAGACGCTTGCTGGTTGTTGAACTGTCAAATTTCGATTATCGATAACTCTACAGCAACTGACGATAGTTGCCATTCGTAATACACATTTTCTTTCCAGTTGCATTGCCAGCTGACAACCGAAGCGTGGTTGTGTTGCCATCCGTAATCGACCCATAAAATATACTTCTCATTATATATATACGAGTGTCATAGGCCACCCGTCCACCCCTTCTAAAATGCTCTATCTTTCGGTCATATTACCGACTTCTGGTGTCGGGCGAAAATGGGTTAAAGAGACCGAAACTCCATTATTTTAAATGGGACATATGACTCGGTGAGTTCGACAACCGTACAAGTTTAATATTGGTTTTTTTGGTTAATATTAAAAACCGTAAAAGTCAGGGACATGTACGTTTTTCTCCTCATTTCACGGGTGCAGTCAGTTATGCTACGTTAACCGCTAGGTATCTGGCACGGTGAAATAAGAAAAAAAACCACAAAAAAGTTATTTTAGACTTGTACGGTTGTCGAACTCATCCATTCATATCGTCGATGTTTTTGCAAAACCGCCCATCGCCCAATTGCAAAACCGCCTATCTTACGGCACTCAAATTTTACAGGGGAGCGAAAAACGGTTTATTCTTTGAAGGCATTGCCTTGATAGGCAGTATTTTCTCTAGCTTTTATTTTACAAATCTGTTGTTTTAATAACGATTTAACGATTTTTATGCATAAATCTCGATACCTGGAGTTCAGGGTTACCAAATCTCATGTTGCCTTTTTCAACTTTTTAATGACATTCGCTCTTCAACTTGTCCTGTAGCCGGATTCCAGCTTTCGATAGAGCTAATTTTGATGGCCAAAAATCTCCAAAAGACATCTAGTTACATGCCTCTATTACAGCCAGATTTGGCTGATACACATTGCATCTGTTACTTTTCCATGTTGTATATTTTAGGCCCCACTACTTTTCATTCGAAGAATTTCGACGACGAAAATTGAGTGTAGCGATTGTCAAAATTCCACTGGAAATGGAAGATACAGATTCGTATTCTGCGGTCAAAAACAACTTTTGTTAGAAACTTTGGCAGAATCCGAATATGTGGTAAAAGTTCGTAGGTATGTATGTATGATTTACAAAAATGGACTTTCGGTATGTTTGCACTTTTCTTTAATAGCCAAAAATCTCCAAAAGAATAACAGAAGCGTAGAATCTCACTGCAGAGCGAGTTAAATCCGACTCTGTGGTAATGAGCATGTACATATGTATATCCTATTTAACAGAATGGACTTCCGGTCGGTTTCACCCAGTGTTCGGATTTGCCTCATTTCAGCCCCTTACTCGCTCATTAGTTTGCTCTAAGTTTCCGCAACTCACCGCGTATCAGCCGAGGCTGTTTGCAAACGTGTTCTCGTTAAATACGAGCGCACGCGCTGAGTAGCCAGCAGATGAGGAAGCAAACGAGGGCAGCGCAAGCAAAGGAGTGCCTCAATAGTTCTGCCCTCATGAGCGCGTCGTTGCGAGCGAGGCACACAGTTGCAGCAGCATACGAGCGAGGCGAGTAGATGAGGGAGGCATATGATAAGAGGCAAACAGATGAGACAGGCAAACGGATTGTTAAGAAAAAAATTGATGAGATAAAAATTGCATCAGCTAAGAATTTCGAATAAACGATTGCATGTACGCATGCATAAATATATGTACCTATGTATATACATTAGCGTGCCCATCGAACATTTTTTTTTTTGGAAATTTCAAGACCCTATTTTTATAGATTTTTTAAATGTCATTAAGAGGTCGCGACCTGTCGATTTAGGTCAGAAAATACGATTTTGTAGATTTATGAGTTTTTGAATGACTATTTTTGATTCGATTTCAAAGATCGTATATCGATGGCTGAGTGGAAGATCGACCTATCTCGGCAGCCAGTTAGAAAACGCCCTATCGCAGAAAACTTTTCAAGCACGCCCTACTTCAGAATTTGATTCAAAAACGCCCTATTTCAGAATTTTATTGAAGAACACCCTATCTCAAAATTCGGTTCAAAAACACCCTATCTCAAACGAAAATACATTGAAAATAAGCTGAGATAGGGCGTTTTTGAATCGGCAGCTGGAATGGGGAATTCGTCAAC